CGCTTTAGTTCAAAACTTACCACATGTTTGGTATTTTATGCAATACTTACGGTTCTATAATGGTACCATATGGATCGATCTAGGTCAGAGTTTTTTTGGCTTTTCTTTTTCTTTTGTGGGCATTTTCAACGAGTTCTTTATTTAATTTTCGTATTTTGAAGAACATTCTTGCCCTGAAAAATAATTTTTTTACTTTAATGTCGCATTGAATTGTTGCAGCATGCTCAATGTGAGTTTTTACAAAATCATTTGTAATGAAAAAGCCATCTTCGTTCAATGCCTTAAAGACTGACTCAAGACTTCGCATATGGACCATCATAGAGGAGCTTGGTAGGGATAACCCACCCTCATTAAGGTGATCCGCCCAGGAGAATGAATGGTCGTCATTGCTCCTGAACGACGTGCTGGGAATGTCATCCTGCAGCTTGTGGCAAATATATCCCGCTAAATGCTCGAGTCCGTCTAGCTCCAAATCCTCGAATTCCGCTTCTTCAACCGGCCACAGTTCTGCATTAGAGCTTAAGTTTTTCAGCAAAATACCTGTAAATATGGTGAAATATATATGTGCGATTATTAATAAAATATATTTTTATATTTAAGCCGAATGAAATAGATAAAAAATTATTTTGAATTACTTGTAAGCGGAGGCTGCGTGATTTCTATGTCAGGCGTATCATCCTCTTCTACATTAGCAGAATCGGATAATACGCCCTTGTTGTGTCCTAGCAGGTATAGTCGCAGACGGTACTTGAATTCCTGTTGGTCAGGGTGATCATGTACGCTTATATAGCAACCTGTATGCTTTAGGACTGGCAGCATACAACGATATTGACTTCGCAATATCCTCTTCCGCCCATTTTCGTCGCTTCGACCCAGACTTCAGCTTCGCTATCTGCCCTTTGGTGAAGATGGAAGCTAGTGCATCTTCCACATTTTTCATTTGGGCAGCCATTTCATCCAAACGTTTTTGCAGTGACTCCATTTTCCATGCGTGTCTCTTCAATTGCAGGTCGGACTCCCGCTTCAATGTAGCGAGCTCGGTGCACTGCTTTTCGGTTTCCTTTTTGAGGTGTGAGTGAATGTCTCACTTCAAATAAGAGAAATATAAGATATTATTACATTTACACATAAAGATCTGTTACTTATTAACGTACACTTCCACTTTCAACACTTCCACTTCCTGAAGATCACTATCATAGTAAACACAGTTACGGATAGGTGACGTCGAAGCATCAAGAGTACCGTCCCTGGGCCGATATACTTTATCGCCTTCATTTAAACCAACTAATAAACCACTGACATTAATAATATAATATTTATAGTATAATATTTGCTACCTTCGCAATTTTGTAGCTCAATGATCTCCTCAACGCTGTCATTTTGTGACTCACACACCGGAGGAGGATCTATTTTCCACTCAAAAATGGTTGGCATGGCGTCGCGGCGAAGCGATGGTCGACTAGCAGTTCCTAAGTCTTTTATTAGATATCGACATATATAAGTAATGAAAATAAATGATAGTTACTCATGTAATCCTTATCCGTAAAGTGCTTCATGCATATTACGCTGGTGTCTAAATTGTATGGCTTCTCCTGCCGGCAGAACTCTACCCACTTTCTGGCCAAGGCGTCGTCGCGGGGAAACAAAAAAAAACTGCATTTAGGGCCTTTACCCCTACGGCTGCTGCAATTCAACACACGACACGACATTTTTATAAAGTTTTTATTACAAATAAAAAGTTTTTTACTTCAGAACGCACGAATTACTTCGATTTTTCACTAGAAAATACACAATACGTTTGCAATACGTTTGCACTTGTTTATAAACAAAAAGTTTGTTTACGTATTGCCATAAACGTCAAAGTCGGCAAAACCAAAGTAGCGGTTTCGGGAATGCGCCACCTTCAGTTCATTACACCATGGCTACAACCTGTAGTTGTTGAATCATGGACGGTATAGATGCATGTGTACTCGTCCCCTTTCTTCTCACCCCCTCTCTCCAACACGCGAGCAGAATTGAATTCAATACTTGAACTGTGTAAAAGCAGTCTAAGCAAATCGATTTTAGTTTGTAGCTTATCAACTTTACGCGATATTTTAAATGGATGTAGCTTTTTTTTTATGCTAATCATACACACATACACATTTCTGCATACAAATGCACTATGAGATATATGAAAAACGCAAGTGCGTTAAAATATCTATTTGTTACACATTTACATTATAATGGCTAATTGTTGTTCAAAGCAGATTTATGTTGATCAAATTAATCTTAAGGCTTTACGTAGTACTCGTAGAAAAATGTTTGTATGTTAAATCAAAGTAAATATGTAATACACCTAACACCACAAAAGTATCCAGGTTTGCCCACTTCAATTATGTACCTACACAAATGTATAGTAAAAAATTTTAATATTTTTACCACAGTCGTATATGATTAAAATTAAAGTAAAGCAATATAACTAAAAAATGCTGTATTGGTGTTGGTTGATTTTTCCGACAGAGTGGTAAGATGATTTATTTCGGAACGAATTGCCGTCATCCCTTGTCAAGTTTGGTTTGCAGACAAATCGGTTTCGGCGTTGTGCTGTCTTTAAACCAATTCGAAATTCATGCGAATAATTTTCTTTAAAATACCATTTACAATGAAACCTCAAAGTTAAAAATATTTATTTTTGAAACATTGAGTAATATTCAATCTAGACGTAACTTTATTAAAATGTACTAAATAATTAAAACTTCTGGTGGCGATGGTTCTGCCGTGCTTGTGATTTGCATCGGACCTTGCCGCTGAATCTGTTGTTGTTGTTGTTGTTGTTGTTGTAGCGGCTGTGGCTGCGCTGGCTGTTGCATTTGCGTTTGAGGTGATACTGTTGATGGTCGAAAAGCATAAGGACTTGGCACATATATAGATGTGGATGGTGGAGGCATACGCGGCGGTGGCATTGAATGCATCGAAGTTGGTGGCGTCATGTGTGTTGGCGGCGGCATTGAATGCATCTGAAGTGGCTGCGTCATGTGTGTTGGCGGAGGCATTGAATGCATCTGAGTCGGTGGTGTCATTTGCGGTGGTGGGTGCTCCATGTGCGGTGCCAACTGTCCCTGTGCTGTTGGCATTGGCATTGACATTGACATTGGCGCTGGCATAGGAGTATGTACATATGGATTAAAGCCAGGTGGTGGTGTGTGGTACTGAGGTCGTTGGTACTGATATGGAGCAGTGTATGGTGAACGGTAGACATGTGTGGGTGGCGGTCTGGGGTGATATTGTTGATTGTAATGCGAGTGTCAGCTGCCGGTATTTTGTTGAGGATAGCTGCGCGGTGTATACGGCGATTGTGATCCAAAACGTTCTTGCCTCTTTTGATAATTTCCAGATAGATCGTTTCGCCTACTACCGCTGGGCCGTTCCCGCCTTTGTTTAGTTCCATCAAAGGCTGTGCTTAACCGACTTCGTTTCATCGGATCTTTATCCTTATCATCAGCATCAGCATCAGCATCATCGTCTTTGTCTTCTTCATCCTCCTCCTTAATACTCTGCCTCCGATGTTTCCTAATTTATGGCGTGCTTCACGCTCCTCCTCATCGTCTGAGTAATCTAAATACCGCGGTGGCGGTTCTATATCGTTCTCCCATGATGCATCAGACCCACGCATTTTCGTAAGACTTGAAAGTATTAAATATTGTGTATGCTCCGATTTGGGCGCTACATAAACCACATCTCCAATATTTATACCTTTCTCGTGTATGTGTTGATTTGTATTAAAACGAACACAATACAGTGGATCTGCTACTTGACCCAACAAGCACGCGTTTTCCTTGTTCTAAAAAGAGTACAGTTTCCAAATCCAGTAAGATCGAGTTTGGCAATGCGCTTACCAGTAACAAGTGATCTACAATGGAATGCACCCGACCAAATTCAATACACTCTTCGGCGGGCATTGATATCTGTAGGTCCTGAATAGGTGGTAAATCGTTAAGTTTCTTTACCGTCGTTATCCTCGTAATCATCTTCATCACCATCATCATCATTATTCTCATCATCAATGGCCTCAATACGCTTGTTGATGTGTTTTGCAATTTTTGTTAAATATTCCGACTCAGTTTCCGGTCCAGATTCCGAGGATATGGTCCCGCTAGAATCGGACTTAATTTCGACAATCTGCGAGCGGTAAGTTTTGTTAATAGCTGCTACAGGTACCTCGACTACTGACTCAGCTTCCGACGCGCTCGATATCGGTTCATCAGAATCGGAGCCGTATTGTGAGAGCAAACCAAGGCTATATGATGAAGCTGAAAAGATAAGATTAACTAAATGAAATGACAGTTGGCCCCAATAAACAAGTTAGTTATACTATACCTTTGGCTGGCATCAACCGCTTTCCATTTGATATGACACTCTTTTCTGTTTGCGTTATATCCATAACTTCGATAACATCTGTGTCCGGCGCCATCCCAGCATCGGTTCCATCAACTATTACTACAGCATCGGAACTGGGCTTGGCCATCGCTTCCACTTCTAATGCTGATGTTTTGTGGTCTAAATCATCACTGGCCGGAACGATTTGAATAACGGATTCAATCATGAACGAAAGACACAAGATCACGCGGGAAGGAAAAAACGAAATTATTCTTTATCTTATGTGTACACACGTTGTCACAAGCGAAAATGAAGAAAATTGCAGTAAAAAGCCACCATAAGATTGTAAACAACGAAGAAATGTAAACAAACGGCTAATTTCAAAATCGTTCAACTTTTTTCCTAAATGCGATTCTAACGGGCTAGTCTCCTGCCCGCGTGATCTTGTCTTTTTGGTTCATGGGATTCAATTACTACCACTTTACAAATTTTTGCATGATTTTCAGCATTGTTGGTTTTCTGGATTTCTTCTATTGAGCTGGGCACGTACATAATTGACGCTGCTTTCATTACGCACTCATTAGATACCCCACATAAAACTTCCTCACTAACCTTCTCCACTACCGGTGCTACATAATCAATCAGTGCGCTTGTGTCCATTTTCAGCATTTCGCAATCATTAGTGTCCTCACCTAGAACTTCCTTAGTAACCTTCGCCACTTCCGGTGCTATACACTCTACCAGGGGG